CAAAGTCCCAGTCAATTCGACGTTTCGTCTGTAAATGGTGCTCAGCAATGTGATTGTTGACGTCACCATTCCTTGTCGCTCGTTTGTGTTCGGTCAGTCGCGTGCTAAGGTTTCTGCCGGTTTCACCAATGTAAGAAGCCTGGCAGTCGCAGCATTTGATCTTGTATACTGCTCCCTGTCTGTCCTCCGGTTTGTCTTTTTCCTTGACATCAGTAAGCAGTCGCCGTAAAGTGGTTATCGGTTTGTGTTCCACACATATATTGTAAGGTTGTAATATACGTGCAATAGTTTCAGAGGTGCCTCTGATGTACGGTATAGTCGCTGTCGTAACAGGGTCAGAGTTGATCTGAGTGTTGGAATCAGTGTTACTGCGAGTGTTCCGTCTAATAAAGTCCGTGTTGTAACACAATCTTACAATATACGTGTTGCACACAAACCGATAACTACTTTACGGGGACTGCTTACCAATGTCAAGGACAAAGACAAACTGGAGGACAGACAGGTAGCAGTATACAGACAGACAGGAAGTACCTGTGCTTAAATTTCCTCAGAGGCTTGCTTTAGATTTTCCATATATTTGTCTATATATTTGTCCCGGGACTTTCTTACAGACAAATGCATAGAAAATTTAAAAAAGTGGCTCTAGGTCTTTTAGCGCATGTGACGCCCTCAATTTTTTGGAGTAGAATCCCTAGGAATGAAGCTTTAGTTCACAATTCATATTTTTTCAGGACAGCCGTTCTACGGAAATTATTCGACATTAGATTCTCATACAAACACTGTAATTTCTCACGCGTTTGCCTACTCGTCAAGATGGCGTCGAAAACCGTGACAAGGTCTATGCTGTAGTATCATGGGTAGTGGATACCTGTAATCCACATTTAACATGTAAAAAATGCTTTAATCATTCCTGTGGTATCATGGGTAGTGGATACCTGAAAACTGCAGTTAACTTGCAAAAATGCTGTAATCAATGCTGTAGTAGCCATTGAGGGAATAATCTTAAACTGCTTTAATACTCTTTTTAACATTTGCGCTATTAACAGTTTTCTGATCGTTTGTTGTTTTTGTTTTTTTCTTAATCTACAGCGCCCGGTCTAAATTAATTTTCGCACGACAGTTGACCTTAAAAAAGCGAAGATTTAAAAGAGCTGTTTAAATGGGATTAGTTATCGGCGCCCGAATTAAGTAAAGGGGAGCGGGTAACCTTCGTTAAAAGCGAAGTATACTCACTAGCTATCCTCTTCAAAACTATTTGTGGAATTCCAAAGCTGAAAAACCTCGATAATACATGCTCAAAAAGAGGCTTAAGCTTAAAATTTATTCAGAGGAACCCAACGACGGTTTCCTCCTAAATACATTGAAACACTTTTTTGGCTCTCCAGAGTACTTTTAGATCTCTAGAGATGCATTGTATCTGTTCGGTCATCTTAAGGGAACTTGAATCATTTCCAAATTACAAGGGCTTCTGAGTATTATTTTTCCGAAAACTTTCGATGCATTTTAACATATTACGAATGTTAGAATTGTTCTGATTCCTCTCTCCATCACATTTAAAGGGAAGCGCAATTTGAAAAATTGAACTCAGTTCAGACAATCGTACGGAATTTATTTGATAAGCTTCAAAACTGTACATGAATGAAACGGTCATCTAGAAATTTTCAGCCTTCCTCAAGTAATAGAAAATTGTAGGCAATATTTGGCTCTCGGAACAGATATTTTACTCAAAACAGTCGTTGGATGCCCCCGCTTTGTGTTGATTTTCATGAAAACAAACAAAATTGTCGGTACCTGATGGACATCCCAAGAGTTCCATCCTCATAGAAATATGGTTATGCCACGTCTTAGGATGCACCCGTATATAGCGTGCATTTATGGAAGGATGCAAAACGTTCAAAACCACGGTGTTGCGGTCCGTGTTTCCATGAAAGACCTGCAGCGGGAAAATAAAGTGTTAAGGTTAGACTAGTAAGTGACTTGTCGAGGCTAATACGGGTCTGAGGTTTCTTGACATTTTCATGTCAACGTGTCGAGATTCGATTTGTTAATTGCTCTAGTTTCTCTTGCTACGATTTTCATTGGTTTCCATACCTTGCTGTTCTGATAAGATGTATAGATGGTGCCGTTGCTGCTGTAGGAAATAGTAAAGTTCGTAACCCATTGATCGGTGTCTTGTCGTCCCTGGATTTTTATTCCTGACACTTCAGTTTTGACTTCAAGATCGACCTGTAGCCACTGATGAACGTCATTTTGACGGGCGGACCATGCGCCAGTCTTACCTCCTCCGGGCTTGAAATTGAGTCTGCCATTGGTGGCGCCATGTGCAGCGTCGTACTCGGTTGACGCTTTGATCTGGCCATCAGTTATTATTCTGTTCTCCATCCCGAGAGGATGGAAACATGCTATAGAAAGAAAATGCATAAGTTCAAAGTACTATAGTGCTAGTTTACAAGATCTCACGGAGTCACAGACAGTCTGAAAACCCTGTCCTGCAAGAGCGAATCAACGAACTCACTCGCGCTGAACAAATCCGTGATTTTAATGAGAGAAGAAGAAGTTATCACACCAGTTTGAAGAGGTGGTGGGATACTGTCAATATGATCACCGGTAGACAGGCTCGCAATGCACACGTCAGCTCTACCATTGACCCGAAAACAATTAACTTATATTTCCAGTCTATCAACACTGACGATCAGTACTCCACGCCCGAAGTCCTTTCCATCCCGGATGGCACTCGTATTCCTACAATTGAGGTGCACACTGTGTGGACGTTTCTGAGTACATTAAAGCGTACTGCTCCGGGTCCAGATGAACTTCCGTTTTGGATCTGGAGGGACTACGCTTATCAACTTGCGCCAACAATCACCAAAGTATTTATAATAACTCTTCTCTCAAGAAACATTTGGTCCCCTGCTTGTGGAAGCTAGCTAATATTACACCTATTCCGAAAGAGACTCCTTTTGAAACATGCAATCAGCTGAGACCAATTTCCTTAACTAACGTTATTATGAGACTCTTCGAAAGAGTGGTAGTAAATCAAGAGCTGTCTCCTGTATTGAAGTCTGCTATTGGCCCAGACCAGTTTGCCTACAAAGAAGTATGCAATACAACCTTGGCCTTCCTTACTTGTCATCATCATTGGCTAAAATAGTTGGACAGGACAACAGACTTTGTAAGAGTTTTCTCTTTTGACTTCAGTAACGTTTTTGACAGCGTTCCACATGCTATTGTTTGCAATAAGCTAATGTCACTCAATATTAATCCCTATGTTATCAACTGGATTGTCAGCTTTCTTAGTAACAGGAAACAGAGAGTAGTCGTGGACCGCTTTGTCACCGAATTTGCTAGCATTAACAGAGGGGTACCGCAAGGTACTGTCCTCGGGCCCATATTGTTCTCTATTATGGTAAACGACATAAGACCGGTTTACCCGGAGCGCAATCTATTGCTCAAATATGCCGACGATCTTACACTAAGCGTACCTGTGTCTGCACATCAAGATCACTCTTTCATTGAGGTTAACAGCATTCAACACTAGGCGGTAAGAAACCGTATGAAACTAAACCTCACCAAGGCCTGGGAGATTGTGGTGCATGGCAGAATTTCCAAACCACTGCCACCTCTGGTACAGGGGATTGCACAGAAAAGCTGATTGAAATTGGTTGGCATAATTTTCCAGGAGAATCCATCGGACTGGGACCTTCATGTTGACAATTTGTTACACAAAGCTAGTAGTCGTTTATACATTTTAAGCGTTTGTAAATATTTTGGATACCCTAAAGAACAACTGACAAAATTATTTAATCTTTTGATTATGTCCCTGTTTTTGTACGGAATTGAGATTTGGGGAGCGGCATATCAAGGTAAATACCTTGATCGCATTGTCAAGTTTTTTAAGCGAGCGTTTAGATTCGGATACACCAATAACCTGTATGCAATAGCTGAAGTTATCAGAAATCGAGACTGTAAGCTATGGAACACTATCACGGATACTCCTTCCCATCCCCTTTAACAACTATTACCCCCTAAGAAACAGAGATTCTTGCGAAACAGAGGACATGATTTCATTTTACCTGCTGTTAAAACAGAACGCTTTAAGAGATCTTTTATTAATAGGTGTCTTTTTAATTTTATTTAATTGTACTTGATCTTAAATAGATTACATTGTCATGTATTGTGATATATGTAGTAAGAAAAGTGAACTGCAGTTGAGTGAGCATGCGAGTAAACAGTCAGTTACCACTGTTGTGCAAGTCGGAGGGAACCTTTTTCAGGGGCATCCACGACGGCTTCCTCCTAAATAAATTGAAACACTTTTTTTGGCTCTCCAGAGTACTTTTAGATCTCTAGAGATGCATTCTAAGCGGCGCTATAGAATTTGTATCTGTTCGGTCATCCTAAGGGAACTTGAGTCGTTTCGAAATTACAAGGGCTTCAGTATTATTTTTCCGAAAACTTTACATCCATTTTAACATATTACGAATGTTAGAATTTTCTGATTCCTCTCTCCATAACGTTTAAAGGGGAGTGCAATTTGAAAAATTGAACTTCACACAATCGTAGGGATTTATTAGATAAGCTTCGAAAATTGTACATCAATGGAACGGTCATTTAGAAATTTTTAGCTTTCCTCAAGTTATAGAAAATTGTAGGCAATATTTGCCTCTCCGAACAAATATTTTGCACAAAACACTCGTTGAATGCCCCTGCTTTTTGTTCATTTTCATGAAAACGAACAATATTGTCGGTACCTGACGAACATCCCAAGAGTTCCATCCTCATAGAAATATGGCCTTGCCACGTCTTAGGATGCACCCGTATATAGCGTGCATTTATGGAAGGGTGTAAAACGTTCAACACCACGGTGTTACGGTCCGTGTTTCCATTAAAGACCTGCAACGGGAAAATAAAGTGTTAAGGTTAAACTAGTAAGTGACTTGTGGAGGCTAATGTGGGTCTGAGGTTTTAACACATTTTCATGTTAACGTGTCGAGATTCGATTAGTTAATTGCTTGAGTTTCCCTTGCTACGATTTTCATTGGTTTCCATACCTTGCTGTTCTGATAAGGTGTATAAGTGGTGCCGTCGCTGCTGTAGGTAATAGTAAAGCTCGTAACCCATTGATCGGCGTCTTGTCTTCCCTGGATCTTTATTCCTGTCACTTCGGTTTTGCCTTTAAGATCCACTTGTAGCCACTGATGAACGTCATTTTGACGGGCGGACCATGCGCCAGTCTTTCGTTCTCCAGGCTTGAAATTGAGTCTACCATTGGTGGCGCCGTGTGCAGCGTTGTACTCGGTTGACGCTGTGATCTGGCCATCGGTTATTGTTTTGGTCTCCATGCCGAGCGGGTCGAAACATGCTTTACAAAGAATATTGCACGATTAGCGCGTTCTATTAAATTGATTACGTGATTCTAAAAGAGTGATTTTGTGATACGTGTAGTAGGAAGAGTGAACAGCAGTTGAGTGAGTATGCGAGTAAACAGTTTACCGCTGTTGTGCAAGTCCCTTTTTCAGGGGCACCCACGACGGTTTCCTCCTAAATAAATTGAAACACTTTTTTTGGCTCTCCAGAGTACTTTTAGATCTCTAGAGATGCATTCTAAGCGGCGCTATAGAATTTGTATCTGTTCGGTCATCCTAGAGGAACTTGAGTCGTTTCGAAACTACAAGGGCTTCAGTATTATTTTTTCGAAAACTTTAGATGCATTTTGACATATTACGAATGTTAGACTTTTTCGGATTCCTCTCTCCATCACATTTAAAGGGGTGTGCAATTTGAAAAATTGAACTTCAGACAATCGTAGGGAATTTATTAGATAAACTTCGAAATTGTACATGTATGGAACGGTCACGTAGGAATTTTTAGCCTTCCTCAAATAATAGAAAATTTTAGGCAATATTTGCCTCTCCTAACAGATATTTTACAGAAAACAATCGTTGGTGTACCAGTTTATTTCCACATTTTTCTACCATTTTGTGTTAGTGATCCAGTGGCTTCTGAATTTGGCGATTTTATTTGCGACGGTGACATACAACTGTATTGTAAGGTCTATTTAGTTGCTGCGTTTACGGTCTTAAGGAATTCGATGTCTTAAAATCCGAAAACCTTCTTTACGGTCTTTTAAGAAGCGGCGAGGATGGTCTATTGCAATTTTTATTATCGTCACAAAACTGAGTTATTACCGAGTTTACCACTTCATTCTATTTGAGTGCGCGAGATTGAAGGGGGCGCAACCGAGACAGTAAATGAGCAGAAAAAAATTACTCATAGTTACCTTGCTTTAATAGTAGCTCCGCTAAAAAGTACAGTCTAACCTCTCCTTACGGACACCTCTCTATTACAGACAGTTCGTTTGGTCCCAGAAATGCCAAACATCATACATTCCCTACCTCTGTAAGACGGACACCTCTGTAAAAAGGACACTTGGTTCTGTTCCTTTGGTGTCCGTATTAAAGAGGTTTGACTGTGCCTTGAATTACTTTTTCGTGGGCGATTTACAAAAGTCCTAGGGTGTTCGGCTAACACCTCAAGAGCCGAGAGCTGTCAAACCATGGCATTATGTTACTTATGCAAATGTCGTGAGGGGACATTCTATGACCCCTCAGCTCATTTGCATAACATTTTTAGCGGCTCTGGGCTCCCAATCGACCACCTTCACCCCTTTCTTTTCTAAGGTTGAAATGTCGCCTAACTAAATATAAATTTATGTTATGAAGGCCGGTTTTAAAAAAGACTACACTTCTCGGCGGCGTACAGTTTACGCGTTACGACTTATCACTTTAATCTCCCATTCTAATGGGAAGGCCAAAATGAAACCCCAGGCTAGTTTTTGGGTGTAAATTTTTTTTATCATATTTAATAATAGCCTTAACTATGCGACCAGGTACTGTTTGCTTTGCGTACGAAGCTAGGACAGAAAATTACTTGTTTATTTTTCCCTACTAATAAATATTTAGTAGTTTTTTGGTTTCTTTGTTTGTTTGTTTGTTTTTTTCAACATAATCTGACAACACTGTCATGTTGACTAAATTACCGCTAAGGCATCAAAAAAACTTTACGCTCTCAGACTATTAAAGCAAGCTGGCGTGCAAGAACAAGACATGTTGAAAGTCTTTAGAAGTAGTGTCAGACCGATTTTAGAATATGCAGTACAGGTGTGGCAGGACATTCTTGACTATCTGTCAGATAGAATAGAGTCCGTGCAAAAAAGGGCCCTTAAAATCATATAAGCTAACAGTTCGTACAGTCAAGCAATGTCGCTAGCCAACGAAACTACAATTTCCAACAGACGCGAGCCTTTATGTCATAAATTTATGGCTGAGATGACAGACACCCGTGATCACCCATTATCGTTCTTGGTGTCCAACGCTGTACAAAGAGCTGATCCTTATAACCTTAGACCTGGTTCTTCTCGACCATTCAATAAGTTCACGAGAACTAAGAGATCAGAGAACTTTTTTACTTTTAAATATTCGTCGCTTAAGTATCGGTCATGATTATCTTTTTAAGTAGTTTTTTAAGTAGTATAATTAATCGTAGCTTTAATGTAGTATTATTGTCAGTTATAACCGCTTGTTAATTCAGTTATCTGCAAGAGAGTGGAATAAATGATATTTAGTTATAACACAAATCACACGGTGTCGTGCAATCACGGCGAAACATACGCTTGACTGGTACTAATGACAACAACTCAAAACCTCTCCCACGCGCGGACAAGAAAACGTAGGCACAGAAACGTGAATATACCGTGTATCGAGAGGATACTATGAAAATATAAAAGACTAAGTTTCATCTCCTCTGTTCATCCCATAAGGTTTAAGAGTTTTCCCTTTCAAATTAAAAAGGTTCTCGGGCTTTGCTGATACCATCTCTGTACTTAATCTTTTTATATCCCGCGTAGCATTTCTAAACATATTTTTTCTCTGAAGCGATCGTGATCTAAAGAAGCGATGGGCCCTGGGAACGAGAAGTCTTAGGTATATGACTGTATTTCCGTTTCGGGTAGTTGGCACAAACACATAAGAAACGTTTTCTCGAAATAATCAAAACTGACGCGATGTTCCTCTATTTTGCCATTGCGTGGGGGGCAGATTCGTAATACTTGGTAAGTTTTCGACAGTTTGATGAGAAAATGGTTGATAAAAACATTTATTCTATAAAACATCAATTTGTGTCGTCTTTCTTCCCTTCACCGTTTCTCCTTGGACAAACTGACGTTTCCCCCACCCGTTGTTGAGGTGAGAATTTGTTGCTGTTACTGGCACACGCGCTCATTTCGAAGCAATAAACAAATTTGCTCTAGTGACTAAACAGAAGCATTCGAGCTCTGACGGCCGTTAGCTTGTTATCTCAATACCTTTGTTATTAAAATTGCCGCCATTACCAAAGTAACGCAGATCTCCTGATTGAGAATACCCATGTAGCAGGAGTTTGAGCCAAAATATCCATGAATGAAACATTCGCCTTCAAAGAAAAGTTTTGATTACTTTATGGTGTTTACAGAAAAACGGAATTTGGGATTGGCTTGGGTTTTAGAATTAGAAACTGGAAATACTCATTTTGCCTCAGTGACTGATACGTTTTCACAATTCCAAAACAATTAAAAGCTGAATTCGGAAATACTTTCAGGAATTGTTTTGTGCTAGAACTTTTGCCATTCTCAGTTTTCTGAAATTCTTTTGGCAATCTTATTTTATCACTAAAACCTATACCACAAGATTTGAAAGTCTATCCAGTAACTCGCGCGTATATTAAGGAAAGTACTTACAGTTGAAATATACAGCCATACAGTCAACTCGATTTGCTTGAACAGGGGCCGCGAGGAATCGGTAGGTAATGATTCTATTGTTTGCGCCCGCAATTAAATCTTTTCTTATGGTGTAGAATAAACTATTCTCGAAACCGAGAATGTTTTGATCAAAGCTGTGTAAGTCGAGCTGAAACTGTACATGGAACCTTGCGTTTCCTGTATTTATATCTCACCTATTGTATGGAATATGTGTGAAAATCTTCATTATGAATCGGTATATTTCAAAGAGCTACACAACGAGCAAGAATACCATTGACCGACAATTTACAGAATGTCAACTATTACTAGTTATGTCAATAACAACAGCAAATCTTTTTCAGTGGTCGCAATTTTCTAATGAAAAATGGTACACGCTGAATTTCTCAGCAATAAGTTCAGGAGTATCACCGGTCAAATGGAATTTTTCATATCAATGCTAGACAATGGCTGCAGTCTGTCTCCAATTTCCTTCCTAACGCTTCGAAACCAGATGAGTTATTAAACAAAGTTCGTCATGCCCCCTTATAACACTGAGGATAAAAATGAAGCTACTTGTTAGAAATACCTCTATTGCCCTGCTGCAGCTCCTGTGCCTGAAGAACAAAACATGGAGCAAAGATAACTAACGCAATAACGATGAAGACTCTCTTCATGGTTAAAATTCCAACAAAACTGAAAAATCCTTTTAACCTAATGAGTTTTGTTTTAAACACAGATGTTGTAGTCTGTTCCTTCAACTTGACGTTTGTAATTTATTCGAATTTACTCATAAACGTCACGTAGTAGCTCACTTTCGATATCAGTCGATCACTCAATCATCTCTCCAACAACCATTATACCAGCGGTTATTTGGACATTAAAGTTCTAACATCGCCATGAAGCTTATATAATGGCTCAGTCAATTCCAAGCGTGCCCATCTCCCCCCCTCCCCCCCCCCCCCCCCCCCCCCCTT